ATATTGCTAAAATTAATTGTTAAAATTTTATTATAAAAATTAATTTTAAAAAAATTAATGCAGGCAAATTTGCCTGTGTTACAATCTAAGGGATAATATATTTTATTTATTATATATAGAAAAATGTCAAAGTTTTTGTTTTTCTCTTGAGATTAATACATGTCATTCATTATAAGTTATTTATATAATATTGTGACTTCTTTGTAAATATTATTACTGATTTGAAAAAATAAATAGTATCAATTTTTTAAAAAGAATATGTCAGATTTTCTACTTTTTGATAAAAATTTTGAAAGAAAAATCTAATAATAAAAACAGAGGAAATAATTAATTTGTTAATAAATTATAAAAATTATACTATATAGAGTATTACAGTATATTAAACCAAGTAACTATTTAAGTCTAAATCCTTATAGTATTTAATAAAGCTTCAAAGCTTATCTACTACTTATTTGTTTGGTAATACTTGAGTTTTATAACAAAGAACTTTACTTATAAAGGTTTAAGTCTTTTTTAACTCTTTTCAATTTATAAACAATATAAAATGAATAGCTTCTAATCCTAGTTATTCCAAAATAAAGTTTTGTTATATGTAATATAATAACTATATAGTTTTTGTAAATCAGACTTTTAGGAAAAAATTAATATAAAAGATTATTGCTTATTTAAAAATTGCCAAATCAAAATTATAAATAAATTTAAGTTAAATATTAAAATATTTCTTATTTTACTAAAATTTATTTAAAAATTAAAATATTAAATTTTGATTAGTGTAATATTAATATTACTACGTATTATATAAAATTATAATACTATTAGATCTGAATGATTATTTGAATAATTTTAATAGATATTTCTAAGCTTCCTTTTGCAAAAAACTGTAAAAACTTATGGATCAATAGTGCAGTAGTTAATACTTCCAGGTCACATTCGCAAAGTTACCAGTTCAATTCCAATTAGGAGAAAAAGCTGTGCTAGGATCATGATTGTTATGATCTTAAGAGGATTTCACACTTCTACTTTTGGACAAGAATATTACAAGAATGAATGATCTATGAAGATTGCCTATTTTCAATTTCAAATAAAGTATTACAGCAAGAACAAGTCGAGTGACATAGCTACAAAGTTACACAATACCCAGATAAGGAGATAATCCGACAAGAAATGTCGATAATATAAGGATCCCAGATTAGAAAATTACTGTAAAAGACAATAGAGATAAGGAGATGGAACCTGTAAGGACCATTGTTGATAAGGAACTGCAGACTCAAGTAAGGGATCCTACACCACAGGATCAAGGACTCAGGTTATCACAATAATGATAAACTTGTTAATAATGTGATATAGTAGGACTAGAGAACACCACTGATGATGTACGTAACAACTAAATATATAAACCTGTAGGTTCCAAACATTAAAGTTAATAAAAAAAATTAAAGCACCACATGTGCCCCATGATGTAATGCATCAGGGATAGTTAAAAAAAAAAAAGATGTAAAATTCATTACAAATTCATATTTTAATATTGCAAACCATTACTTTACTATTTTGCAATCTAAAACTACAATATAAATTAGAATCTAACAAACTATTAAATATATTGAATCTACTTACCTCACTTTAACAAATATTTATACTGATCTATAAGGATTGATAATTGAAAATATTAATATTAAAAAAAAATAGATGCTTGAAGTAAGTTCATGTGTTTCAAGAAAAATCAATAGTGCAATACACCTGATCATTTTTTAAAAAGATGAGATATGCAATTACAGTAATTTTAATAAACAAAAAATTAATAAACATGAAATTAAAAACCTACATAATTTAAGAAATAGAAACACGAACTGTTTTGCAGCATTTAAGTTAAAAGTTTATTCATTTACATAATTTGTTAAAAAAAAACAAATAAACCAAATTAGCAATTAAAAAAATTTTTCTTAGAATGTCAAGAGCTAAAGCCTGTAACATTATATAACGTAATAAAGCAAATGAAAAATTGGTTTAATTGAAAAAAAGCTTTGTATTAATAAGAAAACTTTATACGGTCTCAACTCTTTCTATAGCGTAAAAAAAGTTCGTTATAAAAAAGTGCTATGTTTTATTAATAATCCATGACCGAAATATTTAAGTTAGAGTCGACAATATATATATATATCATAGGCAGAAGTTCGTCTGATTGGCTAATAAAATTCAATTTAATTTTACATTATTTATGCAGTTTAAAGTATTTTTAAAAAAACCGAAAACTAATCATAATAAAGTAAAAAAACTATATAGAAGGTTTCATTAGAGCTGTAAGACTCCATAGTCAAAAATAAGGTCTAATTCTTGTCCGTTTAAAAAAGTTAGTATAGTAATAACTTCTCAAAACCCGATAAAATCAACTTATTACTAATCTAATTTTTTTTTTTAAACCGAATGAGAGTTAGATCTTATTTTTGACTATGGAGTCCTACAGCTCTAATGAAACCTACTATATAGTTTTTTTTACTTTATTATGGTTGGTTTTCGTTTTTTTAAAGAGTACTCTAAACTGTATAAATAATGTAAATTTAAATTGAATTTATCAGCCAATCAGACGAACTTCTGCCTATGAATATATATATCGATACGTTTTTTTTTTTAATCGACAAATCGTTAATCCCCGAACCCAACCTGGTACAAACTTTCTGAGTACATTAATTGACTAATTGTGGCGCCTGAATAATATAAAATTTAATATATTAGATGCAATTCAAGTTTCAATATCTCTTAATATACGTAACAGTTTTAATAGTTTTGAACAGGGTTTTGGCCATATGAAAAGTTGTCCAAAATTGTCCCCACCACCGATGTATTCTATAATTCGTAGTCTTTCTATTTGTATTTAAAACTGTTCCAGAACCTCTAATACTAAATCATTGTAGAATCTGTAAATTTCTTATATTCAAGACATATAATAAAAATTGTTATATTGTTATTTGTTGTATAATTGTATTAAGAACGATAGCTTAAAAGTGTTCAAGCTTATATTGTTTTTACGTAGTGGAAAAAAATCATATCTTGAAATTTTGTATAGTATGTTTCCTATTTAAACATGGATTAAAAAAACTTTTTAGTACGTAGATTTATGCAAAAAAAAACTTTTTTTATAATAAAAAAAAAACTCACCACCATTACTTTTCATGTGATTTTTTTCTATGTTTGAAATTGAATAAATTGAATCTAACTAAATTCGAAAGCGACTTATGAAAACCAAATTAATTTTAATTAAATCTGTAGTTTATATTTTAAATACTTTATTTCTATTTACATAAATTTTTTACACAAAGACAAGTATAATCCTTTCATTTCAAACAAAAGAAAAATACAAGAACGAGGAACTGAATAGGGGTAAAATTTAAAAGAAAATTTGAATGTTTTTTTTTTGACGATGATGATTATTAGAGAAAAGTGAATATAAAATCTAAGGGAGAAAGTTGAAGCCAAGCAATTTATAAAGTACCTTAGGTAATAAATCAAAATATAAAAAGCTATAGATTCATCCTTTTCTTAAACGTTAAGAGAATAGTCAGATACTGCCTAGCACATTTCAAAACAGCAGCAGGAGAATTGTTCCGATTATTACAAAAGAAACCTCTTTCTTTACGAATTAAATTCGGACGTTCTTGGTCTAATCGTACGTTTATATCTTTAACCTGACTATTTTGTTGATACGAAAGAATGGATGGTATCACGTGACTTACGTCGCCGAACGTAAAACTCACGAAACCGATAACAGGTAAATACCTACATATACTCTATTCTATCATCATTAAAAGAAACAAGCTCTATAGTTTCATCATTTTTTCCTTGTAATCTTTTTATTGCGTATTCTTCAGCATCGCCATTTTGCCAACCACGACATTTTTTTCCTACACGGTAAGCGGCAGTTGATTCAATCATCTTATCCTAATAAATTTAATAAAAAAAAGAATTTAAAATAAAAATAAAGAATAGAATGAGATATTGTAGAAGAGTACATACGCTCATAGAAAGTTTAGGTTTTGATTTAATGCGCTTAGAATGACGTTCTGAAGGAAAATAATCTATAGATTTGATCCATTCCTTTTGTCGATTTGGACCTAAAGGAGAAGGAATATCTGGAACGTGACAAGAGTTTTTCTTTTCTAAAAGGATTAATAGAATGCATGATTAAGATTGACGAATAATATAAGGATGCGAAGAGAGACTGTGTAACGAGACAAAGGTTAAAAAAGGTAACATAAAACGTACGAAGTTTCTTTAAGGTGAGCTCAGAACGGACAAGTACATGAGGTTTATCAGATAAAGATCTTGCCATTTGAAATTCGGATGGAATAAAAGAATCAGAATGAATAGGGATGTCAAACAAACTATATAGAGCAATAAAATAGGGAGAAAAAGTTAAAGAATAAAAACCACAAAGCGTACATATATATACAAAATCCAACGTAACGGAAGAATAAAACACAACGACATATTGTAGGACAATCCCTGCATATAAAAGGGCAAGTAACCATAAATAGATAAAATACTCACTAAGCATTAAAAGTTCCATTATTCCCACCATTGACAACACTACTTAACGCCGAGGAACCATTCTTAGAAGAGGTTTTACAATTTTTTCTAAGCCCATTACTTTTTCTGGAGATAACATTGAGTATTTTTGATTTTAAATCAGATGCAATACCACCGATTACATTTACTAGAAACCATACGCAACATTTTATTACAAAGACACATGAACAAAACGCTGATAAAACACCAAATGTCATGATGGATAGGATGATTACAGAAATTGCGTATAGTTTGCTATTGGAGATTGTCGTAATTTTTAATGGAGACATTGTTCTTTTTTAGGGAAATAAACAGATAAACGTATAAGCCGTCAAAAAGCCGTCAAAAGCCGTTAAGAAAGGATTATAGACCGATCGACAAAATATAAGCTTATATAAATGCTCAGGCAAGAGAATATTATTAAAACTTTGTCTTTTTTTTTCTCAAGTATTTTCGTGGAGTGCATTAATCAATTGATATAGTAATAATTGCGAGAGATTAAAAACACAAAGATGTTAACTATATACCTAATAATGAAGTTATTATTAATACGTATTATTATTTTACTGTATGTACAAGAACAATCGATGTTTCATAATCAATGCGTTTTATATGATAAAAAAGAAACTCAATTCGGTATTATTAAATAATACATTCTTCTCAAGGGACGTTTTTTTTTAGATGAAAATCAAATTGATATTTATTTATTAAAAAATATTGGTACATGTGATTCGGTGAAACAATAATGAACAGCTAGTCATTGTAGCATGATATTGCACAATAAAACATTACATATCATCATACGTATCGATATTAAAAAATGTATGAAGAGGTGCCGGATTAACAAACTCAAAGAAAACGCCACACTTGCATTTTTTACAAAAGTTACGTATAATTTAATCCCTTTTTCAGAATTTTTTGGACGAATGTGAGAATCAGAAAAAAAAATTTTTTTAAATCAAAAATATGCAAGTCTTAAAGTAATTCAGTCTTTAAGGATAGTCATTTACTTATGAAAAGATTGACGACCAAAAACTTTACACATACGTAAATAAACAGAATTAGAAATTTCAAGCCAGAGGACAATACAAAAAAAGTTAAAAATGTAACACACGTTACAAAGAGAAAACGAATCCCAATAATGGATCATGGAACGCCATCATTTTCTTTTTAGACTATTATATTACTATAATTTACTATAATAATTACACGAAATTCTTTCGAGTAACGGTAAGACAACTTTTGCCACTTGATTTTTATTTATCATGTTTCAAATTTTCATATATGATGAATGCATTTATTGAGGATACTGAGGATAACTTAATATTGTTTAAGATAGGCTCTTTAATATTGACATTGATGTGGTTCTTGACCGTGGGTGCGTACCTTTTGTGAGAAAATCATGTTTCATGTGTAATAACATAACGATAACGAATTTCAAAATCAAATTTCAAATAAGGAAACTCTTTGCTTAGCAATGCTGATAGTGTATTGCGGCATGTGATTTAATATCATTCATTTATTTTTAGCGATATTAAAAAATTCTTATACGTATCTCGATTATTCTAAACTCACGTTGCCTATTATTTCGCGCGTCTCGATTAAGTGATCATGATTGCCATTACATAATGTCCATGTCTATTGATTCACCATCAAAGCTTTGATTGTCCTATGTAATTACGTATACCATCAGAAGGTGTTTAATAATAGTTATATCCTGGACAGTCGGATATTAGCGAATTTTGCAGTAAAGTATAATCGGCCGCGTAAACGGCTGATTATACTTTACTGCAAAAATCTGACTACACAGTATATAACTGATTATCCCCTGCCATCTACATAACATAACTTTCATGTACTTATTTTAGAGAGAAACCTGTTTTTTACGCATTGTTTTTGATATATATTTAAGATTAAATAAGATAATATACTCAATCACCTAAATTAAATAGATATATAGAAATAAGTACATGAAAAAGTTACTTAGATGGGGGATAATTACAATGATTGCCTACTTGATGTAACATTTTCATGTTCAAGTTCTTTAACAACTTTTTTTCTTGATATTCCTTTATTCTTTTTCATCTGACAACGATTGTCATTTGCAGATTCTATTCGAATTTAAGTATATTATTAGAAAAAATCTTAAAATTGCACCCATGCACCCAATGCATCATGTATAATTTATATGTACAATAATAGTTAAATTTAGGGTTATGGTTGGGGTAAGTAATAATTTGTCTCTCATCATCCCTGCCGCCACGTACAAATACCAATTCATAATGAAAATTTTGAGTGTATCGATAAAAATGTGTCAATAAATCCTTTTAAAATTGTAAGAGGAACATTTTGGTTAGTTACACGACAGGGGTTACCCTAGTAAAACTTCGAGAAATAAGAAACGATAAATAGAGTAATAATCAGGCCTACCGTATAATTGATTGTGAGGGCAATTAATTGATTGGTGGCGCAGTCACAATGAGTCAATTTTTGGTGTAATGAATTATTTGCGTGACAAATAAGGGTCTACTAATACGTTTAATTAGTATATCCTTATTTGTCACATATAATGATTCATCGCAACCATGTGATAAATGGTAATTAATTGCAATTATTTCGTCATTAATTGGGTTTCAATTAATTTCATGATAATTTTAATTGGTTTTAATTGTATGATGTATAACAAAAATTAATTTTAATTAATTTTTCGGTAGGCCTGGTAATAATATAAATTACGATTTGGGTTAGTGTAAAGGGGATGTTTTTTATTAGTTACACGACAGGTTAACTTAGTAAAATTTTAAGATAGCGGGGTGCACCGAATGCCCGGTGCACTTTTAACAAAATCCTCATTGTTAAAGATTTAATAAATAAAATTTTAAAAATCCATTAAAGGCAATTCAAATAAATATCAAATATGCTTGCGAATTTTTGATAATGATTAGATATATAACACTGTTTAAATTTTAAATAGTTTTTTAATTTTTAGGATTGGGTCTGCCTCATACGTATCTTTATTAATTTTTAAGTTTATTACATATAGACAATGTCACAATACCATATTAGATGCTACTACTAACATATATTTATCTATAACCTACACTTATCAAAATAGTTATATACATCCCGCTTATATATTACCTAGATTTATATATATGCCTTTTTATCTAATCAATCTTTTGTACATTTTCGTATAATTGGTTATTAATTTCAATTGAATTTTATATTATTTATACAGCTTAAAGTACTTTTACAAAAAAAAAAAAAAACAAGCTACAATAAAATAAAAAAACATATATAGAAAGTTTTATTAGAGTTGTAGGACTCTATTGTTAAAAAGTATCTTTAACTCTTATCTTATTAAAAGTTAGCATAGTAGCGACTTCTCAAAAATAAATAACATAAAGTTATTATTATATTATGCCAACTTTTTTAAAAAGATAAGAGTTAAAATACTTTTTAACAATAGAGTTTTACAACCCTAATAAAACTTCCTATACATGTCTTTTTATTTTATTGTGCGTTGTTTTTGTTTCTTGTAAAATTATTATAAACTGTATAAATAATGTAAATTCAATTGAAATTAATAGCCACTAAAGTTTTACTATAAAATTGTTATCAAAGTTTACTATTTTTATATTTAATTCTCATTTTCATATATCTTTTAATTTTTGAATTTACCAAGTTGATTGTTAAATTAATTTGTGTATATAATTAATTAGACAAACCATTTATTTTTTCAATGTTTAAGTTTTTTTAATAAACTATGTAACTATTTATCAATAAAGGTTCAAAAAGATAAAAAAAATTAAATATAAATTATTATTATTATATGTACGTATTAAAAACACAGTATTAGTCAAAAATATCATTATAGATATATTTTATGTAACAGATTTTCCATGGGCTGTTGTGAATATCATGGATGGCGAAGCCGTGGTAATACATGACATCACGGTTAGAGTTGTTATTGGAGTGTTTCAGTTAATAATAAAACATCTCGATATAACCACTCCGGAACACTCCAGAAGCGGGTTATACGTTTTATCATATTCTGAAGTATTTCATTAACAACCCCAGTCATGGCACACCGTTGAATATCCACGGCTTCTATGTCCCGTAACATTTCTGATTAAAATTTTTAATGATGACGTAATGTCCGTGAAATAATTTTTGATATTTTCACAGCATTGTCATCATAAAAATATCAACAGAAATGCTCACGGACGAACATTAGGGGCCGTAGAATATATTAAATCTATTAAATGTAAAGTTAACAAATAAATTTAAGCATCTTATTACGTACGTACCTAATTTTGATAACAATTCTATGCCAGGTTTTGGAACAAAAAATTATAAAAATTGTCTTTTCATGTTTCTATATAGTTTTGATACAGTACAGTAAAAAATATTGTGATTTATAAAAAGTTTTATAACTCAAAATTTGAAATGTAATCAAAGATCTTTTTTTAACAGATTTGTTACAATAATTAGAATAAATTTTTATTTTTTTTTGATTTTTTATAAAGTTATTTAACTTAAAGGTTATATATAGTGAAGCTATTTTTTATATTCTTTAAATTTATCATTCATACTTTTCATCAAAATAAAAACTTTGAGTAAAGAAATCTTAACAATTATTTGATTAAATTTGATGAAATTTTTTTTATTCTGATTTCATCTTCTAGTAAATTTAAATAAAAAGTAAATTTATTGAATTTGATCAAATGGTTGTCAAGATATTTTTGTCTAAAGATTTAAATAAACTCAAAACATTTATCAAAATAATTATATTAAATTTTTTAAATTTTAAGTAAAAATATCTTAACAACTACTTAGTCAAATTTGATAATTTTTTTATTTAAATTTTATATGTCTAGAGGATTCAAATACAAAAAATATATCAAATTTGGTTAAGTGATTATTGAAATAATTTTATTCAAAGTTTTAAAAAACTTTTAAACTATCTATTTAAATAAATTATATTAATTTTTTAAAACTTTTAGCAAAAATATTTTAACAATTATTTGATTAAGTTTAATAATTTTTTTTTATTTAAATTTTATAAGTTTAAAGAATTTAAATAAAAAAAAGTTATCAAATTTGATTAAGTAGTTGTTGCTCAAAGTTTTAAAAATTAATAACTTCTTTATTTTGATAAATATTTTAATATTTTAAAAATTTTTTTAATTGTATAAATTAAAAGAATTTAAATAAA